ATTATTAAGTGCATTACCATCTATAGTATAAAAAATTAGGGTTAACTCTCTTTGAAAACCCAAGAGCAAGAAAAAAGGAGATTGGGTAGATACTTTATTTCTTGTTTTTCATATTTATTGTTATAAAAGTACTTAAAATATAAGATATGGATCTTTTTAAGTTATTTAGGACTAGATTAGGTAAAATAAGTAATAATAATATAATTCAATTGGTTCACAAGTCACACACATGAGCAGCTCATGGGTAATGTAATTCGATAGTGTAATGTGAGCTGTATGTTCCCTGAGTGATTTACAACTTATAATGGCACAGATAGTAGTTGGACTTGGTTCAAAGGGCAATAAAACAATAGAATTTAATTATAAATAGGTGTATATTGTTACAAACTTAGAGCTACTTAGGATAAAGGAATGTAGTTTCATGTTGCAATTTGAAGTCATTCTACAAAGAAAAAAAGGCTTTTTTTTTTCTTAGTGGTGGTAACAAGGTCAGTCAAATTGACCAATCCCATTTTGAGATAGAGTAGAGAAAATAATAGATAAACTATAAAGTTTTACTGAAAAAAAAACGTTTGAAATGTATTTATCAGGTTTTACGGATTACACAAAAGAAATCTGAGATTTTTGAGATGAGGAAAAGTATTTCAAAATTTAACATGAAAATTACTTTGCACACAGACTATTCAAAACAAATACTCACTGTATTGATGGACAAATCTTTATTTTATTAAAAGTACTTCAGTAAAAAATAAGATTTTTTTGTATGTAATGTTAACTGAAAGACTGCCAAATTTCGTGAAGACATGTACACTATATTGAGAGTTAAAAGTATTAAATCTATAAATACTTTAAACAATTACAAAAAGTTCACGTGGTTGGTCAAATTGACTGAGTCTGTATTGAGAGAGTTCAGTAATAAAACTCTGAAACCAGTAAGCGCATGTTTATGACGGTAATCAGATAGCACCTGAGTTTGATCACATTTGGGACAAAGGTTGAGTGCCTCCAAACGATCACTTAACTAATTTTTTAATATGAACTGAAAGACTGCCAAATTTTGTGAATACTATATTGAAAGTTAGAAGTTAAATTGACTTAGCCTGTGTTGAGAAAGTTAAATACATTAAGGGTAAACAAAATGTTAGGATGGGGGTAGGACCCTTGAGGGATGATAAAGGAAGGCTAGTAAATGATGATTATGAGATGGCTGGGTTATTAAATTTTGCTTTTTCTTTGGTTTTTACTAACGAAAATTTGAGCAGTATTCCACATCTTGAACAGTTGATAAATGGAAACGAGATCAAACAAGATGACTACATTAATTCTGAGCTAGTTAAGAAAAAACTGGGAAGTTTAAAAAATGATAAGACTCCTGGGTCAGATAATATTACCCCAAGGTTTTTGAAAAAGGATAAGATTAGATATGTGAGCCACTTGCTACTATTTTTTGTCAGTCCTTGAATAGTGAGCAGGTACCAGAGGATTGGAAGTTAGCTAATGTAACTCCTCTTTTCAAGGGAAGTGATAAAATTGACCCAGTAATTATAAACCCATTAGTCTTACATTAGTTGTGGGAAAATTTTTGGATAGTCTGTTAAAAGATGCTTTGCAAAGTCATTTAACAAAGTTTAGAATTTTATTTGATAGTCAACATAGTTTCACTAAGGGAAAATCTTGCCTTGCAAATTTTTTTGACATTCTTTGAAAAGGTTACTGCTTATGTAAATGATGGTAAGGGTGTAGATTTGAGATTTGGATTTTCAGAAAGCATTTGACAAGAAGCCATATAAAAGCTTGTAAAAAAAAATTATCTCTATAAGAGTGGGGGATAAGTTAGCAAATTGGATAGAAGAGTGGCTGGATGGAAGAAAGCTGAGGATTGTTACGAATAGAGTTCAGTCAAACTGGATTAATGTCTAAAGAAGGGTACCTCAGGGCTCAATTTTAGGTCCTTTGCTCATTTTGATTTATACTAATGATATAGATGAAGGAATAGTTAATAAATTACTTAAATTTGCAGGTGATATTAAGGTCTTGGGTGTTGCTAGCTGTGAAGAGGATGCTGCTGATTTACAAAAGGAATTAGATCATTTAGTGAGTTGGGCAACTATATGGCAGATAGGTTTTGATTATAATAAATGCAAGATACTGCATGTGGATTATCATCATTTAAATTATAAGTATAATTTGGATGGGAATAACTGTAACAGTGCTATGAAGGAAAGGGATCTTTGTGTAATAGTCAATCAATCTCTTAATCCATCCAAGCAGTGTGCTATTGCTGGTGGTAGAACAAATTTAATTTTAAGTTGTATTTACAGAAATATTGAATACAAGTCCAAAGAGGTTATAGTTTCATTGTATAGGTTAATGGTTAGGCCACATTTGAAATATTGTGTTCAGTCTTGAGCTCCTTACCTTAGGAAAGACATTGAACTGCTGGAAAGGATTCAGAGAAGGGTTACTAGAATGGTGCCTGGGATGGAGGGGTTGTCACATGAGGAGAGGCTGAAATCTCTCAAATTGTTTTCTCTTGAAAAAAAAAAAAAGTTGGGGGGGATATGATTGAAGTGTTTAAGATTGTACAGGGAATTGAAAATGTTGATGTATCATCTTTTTTCATATTTAACAGTGAGAACAGTAGGAGAAGGGGACACAAATATAAATTTTGGCAAGGTAGGAGTAACATTCAGCTAAGGCAGTTTCATTTTTCTAACAGGGTGGTTGGCCTTTGGATGTTGTAGAGGCAGTAAATTTAAGTGAGTTTAGGGAAAAGCTTGATAAGTATATGAATGATAAAGGCTGGATTTATCAGATTTTTTTTATTATTATTTTAATTTAGTTTAGAGGATGGAACAGCCTGGTTGGACCAATAGGTACCATGTTGTCCCAAAACATTATGTTATAGACTAACAATGTGGTGAGGTTCCAAAATCATTTTAATATAACATACACACACACTCTGCATTGTTTATAGAGAAAACAAAAAACAGCTATCCATGAACATTGTACTATCCTGTAGATGCCTTGTATTCATTAAAATTTCATCAGCAGTGATTTTACATTCTACTGATAAAATTGTTGTACATCTTGTAGGTCGTGATTTTGAAGAATGCATATATTCTGCTTTTATTTTGAAAATGTAAAGATGTTCTCTTGTTTATTATTCATATTTTTGTTTCTAATGTTAAAATGTTGTTCTTATGATGAACATTTTGCTTTGAAAAGTATGGTTGTATACTCTGTTGTGTATTGGAGATTACATTTCTAGGTTGTGATGATTTTAAATTCTAGGTAGTGAAAGTGTTGTTTATTATATATGTGAGGTTTTGATTCCATTTTACTTCACTACATAGTAACCTAACTTAATTTAGGTATGTGAATAATATTAAGACATTTTGTCGAATTCAGTATTATACAGCAGACCAACTGTTTAATGATTGTGTGTATCTGTTGAAGATCTTTTCTTTTTCACCAGAGGTGAAATTGAAAAGAGAATCCATGATGTAGAGGCTTATTGTATTCTTTGGTTGGCTGTACCCTCTGCTGTGGACTGCATTTTTGCCTATTCAAGGCTCACCAGCACAGCTTTGGTCAGCAAACCAAAAAAATACCATTAGGCCTCTTATAATGATGAAGTGTATATATTATCTATGGGTTTTTGGCCAAGCAAAGAATGCATTAGGCCTCTATGTCATAGATTGCCTTTTAAATTTCACAATCATTAAGCTGTTGGTTCACTGTATAATATTGAATAATGAATTCAACCAAACGTTGTAACATTATTTATGTACCTAAGTTAACTTAGGTTACTATATGGTGAAGTTAACTGGATTCAAAACCAGAGGATCCAGTAGGTGAAATGCATTGTGTGCTGTGGGTTTTGATTTCCCAGTCATGAAGGTGTAATGCATTATGTGCTGGAGGGTTTGATTTCCCAGTCATGAAGGTGTAATGCATTATGTGCTGGAGGGTTTGATTTCCCAGTCATGAAGGTGTAATGCATTATGTGCATGGCGGTTT